TATATAGTATCATAGATTTGAAAGGGACCCTTAAAGAAGGACAATGATATGTTGCATGTTCCAGAGTAAACAAACCAGACACTCTCCACATCAACACTGACAAAGAAACAACAAGAAATATTGTTTACCCTCAAGCATCAAGACATTACATATATTAGAAACCAGTACTTTCTCATTCCCTTTATTTTCCAGATGAACAGACTGGGCCACAGGAACGCGTGGCAGGGGACAGCTAGTAATATATGTGATTCCTTTATGCTTATGGGTAAACAGTATTTCTTCTTGTTTCTATGTCAGTGTTGATGTGGAGATTGTCTAGTTTGCCTACTCTGAAACATGCAACATATAATTGTCCTTCTTGGGATCCTTTCAAATCTATATTATATCTGTGTGTGTGTGAATCATATCTATCTTTGTCAGGAGGGCTCCGATTACATTTTCTTGCCCTGGTGAAGGGAGTTGGACTGGATGGCCTTAAGTATTTTATGTTGGTCATGGGGGTTCAGTGTGGGAAGTTTGGCCCAATTCTGTCATGAAAATCATGAAACACTAACATTCATAACCAAAAATCATAATCCAGGAGCCGTTCCAATCACATTGCCATTCACTTCGTGGCTGCATACAGCCCAGTGCTACTCTCCAAATGCTTCACCATATGCCCCTTCACCATAACCATAGAATAGGAGAGAGCGGGCCCACCTGGGGAGGGAGTTTCATAGCTAAGGGGCCACCACCGAGAAGGCCCTGTCCCTCGTCTTTGTCAGCCGCACCTGTGAAGAAGATGGGAACGAGCAGGGCTTCCCCAGACGATCTTAGTATCTAGGTTGGTACATGGGGGAGATACATTCAGACAGGTAAGCTGGGCCAAAACCATTTAGGGCTTTATAGGCTAAAGCCAGCAGTTTGAATTGTGCTCGGTAGTAGACTGACAGCCAGTGGAGCTGAAGTAGCAAGGGTGTTGTATGCTCCTTGTACGCCACTCCAGTTAGAAACCATTCCTAAGTGTCATTGTACTATTCCATATTCTCTAGTGGATTACTAACTGAACACTTGATCCCACATCCAGGTCTTTAGATTTTTCCTGAAGGTCAGGAGAAGGGGGTTGGTCTGATTTCATTAGGGATAGTCGAGTGGCCACCACTGAGAAGGCCCTGTCTCTTATCCCCACCAATCCTGAAAGGGGATGCAGGACTGAGAGCAAGGCCTCCCCAGATGATCTTAACCTCCTAGCTGGCTCATAGGGGGAGATACGTTCAAACAGGTAAACTGGGTCAGAACTGTTTAGTGCTTTATAGGCTAAAGCCAGCACTTTGAATTGTTTGGTAGCAGATTGGTAGCCAATGGAGCTGACACAGCAGGGGGTTATGTGTTTCCTGTGTGCCACTCTGGTGAGCAGTCTGTCTGCTGCCCGTTGGACTACTTGAAGTTTCTGAACAGTCTTCAAAGGCAACCCCATGTAGAGTGTGTTGCAGCAATCTAATTGAGATGTAACAAGAGAGTGGACAACCTTGGCCAAGTCTGGCTTCTCAAGGTATGGGCACAGCTGGTGCACAAGTTTTAGTTGCCCCCTACAGTCACCCCCTCCGTTCCCACAGATTCTTCTCCAAGCCTTAAAAATATTCTTCAGGAAAAAAACAAAAGCAAACCACGATTTTGCCCTTTTATATAAGTAACACCATTTTACTACAGTACTCCTGAACCAGTATGCATCTTGCTGTCAGTGGTTTCTCTATCTCCCTCTGCAATATGAAGTAGGGAAGGATTATGGGATGGAAAGATTGCACCTATAGTCAGCCTGCTAGGGAGGCCCTCCTCTCGATACCACCTTCCTTCCTCGAAGTGGGTACTAGGGAGAGGGCCTTCTCAGTGGTGGTTCCCTGCCTCTGGAACACCCTCCACAAGGAGATTAGACTGACCCCCACATTAATGATCTTTAGGAAGCAGTTGAAAACATGGCTTCGGAATCAAGTTTTTGAAAATGGTTAATTATGAACTAAGAATGGAGGTTCTAACACAGGCATTGGCAAACTCCGGCCCTCCAGGTGTTTTGGATTCCGACTCCCACAATTCCTAATAGCCTAGTGGCTGTTAGGAATTGTGGGAGCTGGGGTTTAAAACACCTGGAGGGCCGGAGTTTGTCCATACCTGTTCTAACAGAATCAATTTTGATTGGGTTTTATTGCTTTTACCAATAAGAGCAGATTCTAGAATGCTTTAGCAGTACTATGTATTTTAATTGTGTTAATGTTTTATACGGAGCCCCCGGTGGCGCAGTGGGTTAAAGCGCTGAGCTGCTCAGCTTGTTGACCGAAAGGTCACATGTTTGAATCCGGGGAGCGGCATGAGCTTCCGCTGTCAGCCCCAGCTTCTGCCGACCTAGCAGTTCGAAAATGTGAGTTGATTAATAAGCACCGCTCCGGCAGGAAGGTAACGGTGCTCCATGCAGTCATGCCGGCCACATGATCTTGGAAATGTCTACGGACAATGCCAGCTCTTTGGCTTAGAAATGGAGATGAGCACCACACCCCAGAGTCAGACACGACTGGACTTCATGTCAGGGGAAAACCTTATCTTTAACTTTTAATGTTTTATACTTCTATGGGTGATGTTATGAGCCATAATAATATGTTTTATTGAGATTATTTTCCCTATTGTGATTTGTCCTTTTGATTTGTTTGCTTTGATTTTACCTTTTGGGTTGTAAGTGTGATTGATAACTATGTATACTGTTTTTTCATATTGTAACCCAACCCAAGGGAAGAGGGGACGGGTTATAAATAAAGCCTTGTTAT